CCGGTGCACTTGAAACCTTTAGTCCAAGTGGTCAGACGAGCAGAGCTGAGACCTTCCTGTATGCAGGGAAAGCTAAAGGTGAAACCTAGAGGCATTCGAAATTGCACTAAATTGCGAGCATTCATGAAGCTGAAGATGCAAAAGGCAATGTAGTCAAAAAGCTAAAATAAGAAATAATTATTACTAAAAGTCAATTGCAATTATGTAGTTTTAGCACTTACCTCTGCGCCAGTTCCATTTCTAAGTTCATCGGCAATTGTGTAAATTTCCGTCTCATGGTGCAACTCATCACCGAGTAACTCAATCAGCAAAACTCTGAAGTTAGTGCCACCCAGGTCTAGAGCTAGGAACTTGCCTTCCACTGCAAAAAAAAGAAAGGAGAATGATCAAGTTATAGAAAGAGAGAAAAATTAAGTGACACTAAACCACGCACCGTATTTGTGTTTGGCGTCGGGCACCTCTTTAACAAATGTGGGAAACATTTTGACCGGTGCCACTGGGTTCGTCTCTCTTTTGAGTCCATCGTTGAATGAGTTCATCAAAAGTGACTGAATTTGGTGCAGTTGATCATCGGTCAGCACCAGTGACCTGGTCAGCTGTTNAGAAAGGAGAATGATCAAGTTATAGAAAGAGAGAAAAATTAAGTGACACTAAACCACGCACCGTATTTGTGTTTGGCGTCGGGCACCTCTTTAACAAATGTGGGAAACATTTTGACCGGTGCCACTGGGTTCGTCTCTCTTTTGAGTCCATCGTTGAATGAGTTCATCAAAAGTGACTGAATTTGGTGCAGTTGATCATCGGTCAGCACCAGTGACCTGGTCAGCTGTTCGGCCTGTCAGGACAAAACACGGGAAAGTTTAGTGCCATTGTTTAGTGCTGTTGTTGTCTGACGACAGTCTCGTGCGAGCACACAAGCACATCGTTGTCTGTTGATTGAGCACACACTAACCTCCTTCTGTAATGCGTTCATCCTTTCTGGCAATGATTCCTGAGAATAGCAGCGTCGGCAACGAGCACTGTTTGCCACAATTTTGCGGTGATGCTCCGGACGGCGGCAGTGAACGAGAATAGTGCAGAAACGAGACAGAGAGATGATGAAAACGAAGAGGGAGACGAAGAAGACGAAAACGAAAAAACTGGTGGTGGTTGTGGTAGTGAAGTAGCGACAATATATCAACTCGTGACAGTGTCAAGTGATCTGCAGCAGCACCAACAGCAGTACCAGCACCAACGAAGACGAGGAGCAATTTGGCCACTGGCACGCTTTAAGTAGCGCAATAAATAGACAACGGTAAGCAGTGATAAGGTTTCTGCGATNTTCGTCTGCCGACAGTCTCGTGCGAGCACACAAGCACGTCGTTGTCTGTTGATTGAGCACACACTAACCTCCTTCTGTAATGCGTTCATCCTTTCTGGCAATGATTCCTGAGAATAGCAGCGTCGGCAACGAGCACTATTTGCCACAATTTTGCGGTGATGCTCCAGACGGCGGCAGTGAACGAGAATAGTTCAGAAGCGAGACAGGGAAGAGAAGATGACGAAAACGAAGAGGGAGACGAAGAAGACGAAAACGAAAAAACTGGTGGTGGTTGTGGTGGTGAAGTAGAGACAATCTATCAACTCGTGACAGTGTCAAGTGATCAGCAGGAACAACAGTACCAGCACCAGCGAAGACGAGGAGCAATTTGGCCACTGGCACGCTTCAAGTAGCGCAATAAATAGACAACGGTAAGCAGTGATAAGGTTTCTGCGATCTTGATGATGCATCTCCACACAGAGCACCATCGCTTCTGTGCCTCGTTCAAATACTTTTCAGCTCGACTCGATAAGGCATGTTTTAGTGTGCATTTGTCTCCGTCTCCGTCGTCTTCGCTGCCTTTACTCTGTACACTTCAGTCTGTTTGTCTGTTAGTGCGATACGAGGTACAATTGCTTTGGCTGAGAAAGCGCAGCACATCTCAGCACATCTTCAGCGACCGTCCCTGCGGCAACGTTTCACTTGTGAGGCTGCGTTCTGAGGAGCCAATTCAAGTTCGCCTCCATATGTCTGGGCTGGATGGATTTGACATCATCCGAGCCTGGCCAATCATAATTGGTTGCACTGCCATATCTGCTTTGTGCTCGTATCTTTAGATTGCTGTACCATTCATGCCTGTTTCACTAGGTGGCCATCACCCGTACTGATACTGCCCAGCCGACTGCCAATTGCACCAATCTATCAGGTCGTGTGGTAGCTTCTGTTTTCAGCTTCTTGCTTTTTGTCATACTAAACAAAAAGAAACTTCAAAGGATGACCAGTGCAGCTGAGCTGTCCTTTTTATGTGTTTTAGTGTTTGAAATGCATCATTAGCGGCTAATTGATGGTACCCACTTCTTTTACCACCTATGAATGAAACCCATCGCTTCGCGTGAAGGCCACCTGAAGAAACGCCACTTG